GTGGGGATCTTTAGACAAAATGAAATCCCAAAATGAAGTTGAGTGTCTTTGTTGACTATTGGGGAGGTCACTCTTCGAAAAATAAAAAAAAATGTATGTGACCATTTAGGTGACTTAAGACACAAACAAAATTGTTTAATATCACAAAATTATATACTCTATAACTAAAGTAAGATGTTTTTTCAAACTCACTATATCAATGTATGATTTTCTGCTGCATCAATGACATGCCAATAAATTAGCATAATTAGTTGTGTCATCAGTGGCATGTCATACGACTTAGACTGCGCCAATTAAAATTTATAAAGCAATATTCTATTCCTAAAACATATACAACTAATTGGTAATTTGCACTGGAGTGATAAAAAACTGAATCCCTGAAATACATGTGACATGTTCTACAGAGTGCAGGTCAATATCAAGGCACACACTCTCAGTACTATGTATATATGACATGATTACCTTTATTGGTAGTGCATGTGCTTACATAAACTACAGAGGTCAAAAGAAGTAAAATTTTAATAATTCAGCTAGTATACAACAAATGAAGTTTTTTGTTTATAATACTATTCAAATATGGAGCAAGTTTGGTGTATTTATACGCTGGAATCTTCTGTATAGAAGAGAACATGTTGACACAGAGGTTTATTTGCCAGGAATTGTCATGAACAAGGATGAAAACAAAGGGAATTCACTAGGCTCAACTGGCTCAAATTGCCAGAACAATACTTTCTGCATAAATTTTATTTTTAGAAGTTGTCAAATGTTCAAATTCCAATTTTAGTAAATTTCTTTTACCTTTTTGATTTCAAAGACAATATAATTCTAGAACAAAATTTGTAAGTTTGATTATTGTTTGAGAACATTTCAAAAGGTAAAGTGTATATCTAGAACTTGCATACCATAAATCAGGCAAATATACAACACACAAAAACATCTATGGAACAGAGACTATGTGAACATTGCCATAAAATAGAAGTTAAAAAGGCACCATCTGAAAAATTTCAAATTTTACAGACACTTAGGAAACACTATGAACAAAAAATTATACAAGAAATGCACAGTACCCCTATCAGGAATTGTGACCCAAACTATCCGTTGTGTAGTTAGCAATTGTGAGCAATTAAAATGGTGCTATCAATGAACACGATAATACTCAGAGTTAGTGCCATAATTTAATCTTAAAAATCAGCTTTTTTTGGTGGTAAATGTACCAGAAAAAATAAAATAAATTACCCTAGCAAACTTTCAACATTCTATTTTATACACAATACAGTCCACATATAAGCAATACTCGAGTCCATTTGGCGCAAGTTTGTTGTTATTTTCTCAAATTTCTTGACATCTTCAACAGCTATGTCAAAATCAGGCACATTACTATAATGTTTTGGTATTAATAATAATGTGAACTGAAAACAAAGTTTCCGGCATATCACAAGACTTATATAAATGCTTTTTTTTAAGGAGTGTAATGTTCAGAATAATCAACCCTCACTTATATTTCATAAACAGTGCCCTCAATGATTAAACTACTGAAATCGTTCTTTTTTATTGAAACTTAAATTTTGCCTATTAAGCTAGGTATGAATTGTAGACAGTATTAATTTCTGAACACTGTTATTATCTTTCAATATCAGAGGAGTGTTTATACCGGACAGATCAACAACTATTCAAGAGACTGAGGGAGTTCTGTCGTCATCCTCACCTCATACGTAACAAGAATTTACAGGTAAAACTGCAACAGAAATATAAATTGTTCGACATTTAGTAAGTTGTGATATCCTGATAATCTACAGACAATTTGTTTTTGTTTTGTTTTTTGTTTCAGATTGACACAACTAAATTTAGTTGGAAGACACTGCAGTCACAGTACAAACACATTTTAAAATCAGACGATTCTTGACTCTTAATATTCAACCTTATTTATAGCATTCTCTATGTCCTAATAACAGTTTAAAAAGTAAAATTTTACTTGTGCTACTTTTCCAATAATACAATTCATACATATTACCTAAGGTATAAAGATCCTATTCTGTACAAAATTCTCAAAAACTTAATAATTCAGCAGAGACATTTAATGCAATTGCTTATTATTTTTAATCTGCATTGGCATTAGCCAGGCCATGGTACAACACAACCCGCAATACCCAGGGTATTTTTGATTGTGTTGTAGTGTAGTGAAATACAAACCTGATTGATTACATTGTTGTCATCAGCACCATGTACATTTAAATAAGGTAAATAAATAAACAACAAATTTTACCTATATGCGTACATGTCGCTATGTGTAGTATGATACTCACATTGAACACATTTGTTGATTGCGTAGTTTCAAATTACGTTTAAATAAACAACACACTTGATGCACATGTGCATTAGTTGCTATGTGTAGTATGAGACCCATATCAAACACATGTGTCCATGACGACCACTAACCTTTAACTGATCACAATACTGTCTTTTACAATTCTTTTAAATTTTTCAAGCAACACTAGTTCATTTATGATATATTTTATTCAAAGATTCCAACATTACAAAGTTTACTGTAGTTAAATAAATGTGAGATTGTAAGAACAGTTATTATAGCATCAAATTTGAAAATATTATTCCCACTTTGGCACTATTTAGTCAGCTGTAGTAAATAACATGCAGCTCAAACTTGAGTCAGCTATTTAATGATGTCTTTTTCGATTCTCGATTGATTTTACTTCCAAAAAAAATATATAAAAAATATTTTCTTTACAGTTGAACTAAAGTCTGTTCTATTGTTTGTACGAATGTGAAAAATTCATTTCTGACATCATGTCGTTATAATGCTGAGGAATTATGACACAGAATATAATTTACATAATTTGGTATTCTACATGTCTGGAATGAAGTACACAGCAATACTGTTAGGTTTGACATAAATATGGTAAAAAAAAAACTTTTTACTAGAACCGTAAATGTTCTATTATATGTCTCTAGGACTGTTCTCTGATCATTTTTTTTTTCTTATCACACTCATTAACAAAAAAATGTTCTAATATCAAAATTTGTGTATTTAATAGCTTGCCTGTAACTGCACACTGTCAGGCTTGTAGCAACTTTTAAAACTGACTGTTATATGTTGACACTTGTTTTTATGAGATTTCATACAAATGCATAGTTTTGATGACATTATCACTTAAAATAGATCAGTACACACTGGTTGTGGTATTGAAGATGGATTGGTATTCAGTATTGATGATGGATTGGTATTCAGAGAACAGATATGGTATGAGAGATAAAATACCCGCACATAATATAAGAACTAACAGAAAAGAACAACAACCAATACCAATACTGATATAGGACAGGGTCTTGGCTCGCTTGGCTTGTTTCCATGCAGTCGTCATATCGTTACGAGCAAAGGCAGTGTTAGCCTGAAATGTTAAAAAATTGATACAAGTTTATAATTTGTGGGATTTCACTGGAGCCAACCTTCCATGGCTGACTTTATAAACCAATACGTGATTGTGTTAGGAAAAGCGGTATTTTATTCCAATGTACTTCACAATATACATGTAACCATCCAATTTGCAGGATTTCACTGGAGCCAAACTTTCATGGATGATAAGCGGTATTTGACCTCAGTTAAAGCGGGGGAGTTGTCACCTGCGCATGCGTCAGTTGGCCATTGTGTGTCATTGTTTACAAACAAGCGTCTACCCATGAGCCTTTGCGTTTTAGCATGTGTTATCGTCGCTTGGGACTCAATGTGAGGGTTTGCATACTATTATTCAAAAACATTGCATCTAAATATTCAGGTTTAATATGGTGTCCATTTTGTCAGTTTTGAGACTTTTTTTATCAATGGTGAAAACAGGGATTTTTTTTTGTGGTGACAACAATTACATATTATATATCAACATTTTTTTTTCTTCAATATTATTTTGTACGAGAGAATAGAACACAGACAAAATGATTGTTATCAAAATTTGACTTATAGTATGTGTCAACCTTTATTAATAAATTTGGTTACTAATAAATAGATGAACTGTGTAGCACGGTAGATCCTAAGTCGCATAGGGGCTAAAAAACCAAATAAGTTTGCTCAGAACTATTTGTTATTAATTTGTAATCATTTCTCTTCTAAGAAAACAGACAAGCTTTAAAACCCTGCCACTATGAAATTGATGCAGCCTACATTTCTAATTACCATTTCTTACTTTCAAATGTAAAAAATAAAAATTCCTATGGCGTCTTGAAGTGATGATGACATATTGGGAAAAACAAATTAATAAGTAGTACTAATCATTTTATTCGGATTTTCAGCCCTCAAGAATTTTGGGTAGATCAATATGTTAAAACAGACATACAAAATATATGCACTTCTAGAAGAAATGTATACAAGGCTTACATCAGATGCTCTGAGAATGGCAAATATACCAGTTGGCATGAAACAACACACTGTGGCAAATATAGCCAAAGGTAGGTAGTTTGGTGGTGCTGTAGAATGTCCTTTTCGTTCTACTGGAGCTGGAGCCACCTAATGAAATCAATATATACAGTGAATAATATATTAATAGTTTTAAGCGTAATAACGTCAAATGCATGCTATTTTTGAATTTTAACACCAAAAACTGACAATTGATTTGTGTATTTCAGTGGGTAAATTGTTATTGTGTAATGCATGTGCTTTGCATCTGATCTAATATTTAAATTGACAACTTGGACTATCATTCCAGTGAGTCAATATGGTGTCAGGAATTTACCAGTATAAGTTATGTCTAAATTCTGGTATTTATTTCTAGTAATTTTTACAAATGTTTGACAGATTCAATTTTAGTGTCTGAAGCAGTGACACTTTGAAAAAATTCCATTTTATAACACATTCAAATGTGACATACTGAGGGGTGAAATCAGAATGCAGTCATACATACCAGGTTTGTACAGGTATATGCAGGTGGAAAACCAGCCATCTTTGCATCAGTTTGTGTACTGTGATTAGATAAAGGCACCTCAGCACTTTTAATATCAGTGTCTGTATAATATTGATTATCATGGAAATTATACAAATATTCAAAGATGAATATAGATATTAAATTTTGAAACTGATGATGCCAAAATTACAATAACATAAAACTTGTCAACCCATGTCAACAAGTAAAATGTCTAGCCCAGGTATTGACAATCCGCTCTGCTAGGATTGCCCTTAAAATCACTTTTGTGTGTACCTGTGTCTTTTGGCGTTACGTCCCGCTAGGATTGCCATTAAAATCACTTTTCTGTGTGTGGGGTGGGGGGTGTGATTTGTTTGTGTATTCACGTATTAACTTTTCTGTGATTTTTTCGGCTGGACCAAATTGGTTCAAACTCGGCAGGCTGGCCACACCTTTACTCTAGTTAGGTGGTAAAATCTGAAGAAAAAAAAATGATTTTTGGATAACTTTGCGCCAAATGTATCTCCTACAAATGTTGGAGTAAAAACCTTGGATACATCTCATTCTACTTGGCTTGAGTTTGGGCCCAAAGTTCCTATTTGTTTTTGTTTTTTTGATATATTTTTTTCGTGAATGAGAAATTTGACCCAAAATTTGGGGTAACTTTTCACCAGCAAACTGCCTTTTAACCTTTCTGTGATTTTTTTTTCGCCTGAGCCGATTTGGCTCTAACGTTGCCGTAAAAACCCAGGACATATCTCATTCTATTTAGCTTGAGTGTGGGCCTAAAGTTACTATTTGTTTTTTGGATATCTTTTTTCATTGCTGGGAAATTCGACCTCAAAGTTTGGGCAACCTTATAGCTGCGTGTTGTGCTCTACCATAGCAACAGTCGAACACATGTTGTTTGTGTTTTGAGCAGAGTTGATCGATTGCCAATCAGTCTACCGACGTGTGTGTGTGTGTGATTCCCAGTGTCTTCACGTAATAATTAGTTGCCATAGTAACAGCTAAAAAACTGATTTCAGTAGTATCTCTTCCTACAAATCTAAGAATAAAAACTTCGGACGTAGCTTTTTCTACTAGGCTTGAATTTGGGCACAAAGTTACCACCGGCGCCGACATAGTTGCACTGTACCAACGTCAACTTTGAACTTTGATTTAACTGTAAACGTTGCGTTCAATCAAAGAATCTAGAAATTTCAATCGCAAAACGGTTGGAAATAAAAAGTTTGAATTCTGATCAAAATCTAGGTTAGAGCATAGACCTAACAGAGGGTATATGGTTAAAGGGTCAACTTGCGTGAATGTAATAACAATAAGTTTTAATAATAATAACTGTTATTACTCAACAATTACCATCTGTGGGTAACGTATTGTAAGAAAAACACAACAATAAAGAGAAAATTACAATAATAATACTATAAAGAAAAAAATACAAAAAAAAACATTATTTTTTGTATAATGTTTATTTTAGGTATTTAACTAGTGGAAAACTGTTGTTGCATATGTTTATAAAATTGTTTATTCTATTCTGTTTATTTATTATGTTACATTCTATAAACAGAAATTTTCGTTCTTTCTTATAGCGCTCACAGTCTAAAACAACATGGATTTCATTTTTCACTTTTTTATCATTACATTTTGTACATATTCTATCTTTTTCTTCCACTTTTGGCTTCCTTCTTCGTCCTAATTCAATTTCTAGATTATGGTCACTTATTCTGAATTTTGTTAATATTTAATCTCGTGCTGAAGTCCTTTATTTCCTCTAGGTATTTTTCAGTTTTAAATATTGTTTTGAATAAACTGTATGTTCGTAATTTATTTCCCTCATTTTGATTGTTACTACCGGTACAACTAACTATTTGATTTTTCCAGGTCTGTTTATATTCATTTGATAGTTTACTTTCGATATTTTTTGAGAACTGATTGATGTTTTTTATCTCATATTCACCTTTAGTTTTATTAAATTGGTTCTCCCCCAAGATATGTTCAATCTTCTTTTTCTAGTTTGTATTGTTTTTAATGTTTTCTTTTAATGCACCATGTAGTATATGATTCACTGGCAGTGTGTTTAGTCTATACCAGTATTTGATTTGAGCTTTTTCTGCTTTGATCCTTATTGGGAGTCTATCAATTTCACCCTGAATACCCCTGATTAGGGCTACTTTACTTACACCTAATATAAAACGATAAAAGTAATTACAAATTTGTTCTAAGCTGTTATTGTCCTTTATTTCATGGGCCCAGATTTCCGATCCATACATTAATATTGGAGATATTAACTGATCAAATATTTTTAGACTCAGTGATACTTAAATATTTTTCTGACTTAGGATTGTTTGTCGTATATTAACTAATGCTTTCATTGCTTTGTTTTTGAGCATCACACGGTTTAGTTTATATTTGCCATTTGGAGTAAATACTGTACCTAGGTAGCAAAATTCTCTAACTTCTTGATTCTTAAATTTTAGATTTACATTTTTTATCAACCTGTTACTTGTGTTAAAAACCATTGCTTTTGTCCTTTTTATATTTACAGTCATGCGCCATTTTTCACAATATTGATTTAATTTATTCATGCAGTTTTGAAGACCTTCCATACTCTCAGATATAAGCACTAGGTCATCTGCATATTGAATACAGTTTATTTTATTATCACCAAGCATGACTGGTTTACCAATATCGGCACCAAATATTTATGGGAGATCATTTCAAAAAATATTAAATATAACAACCAAAGACGCTAGTAATAAATTGAAGCTCAGACTAGTAATACAAGTTTATTATGTGTATTACTAGTCTGAGATTGAAGTGACTTCAGAAGACTGAATGTCCTTTGTGAACTTCATATATGAGGCCCCGGATTTAGTTATAAACCGACGTCAGCTTCACATTCATGTTCTACCATGGCAACAGCCAAAAACATGTTTAGTCAGGAGTCAGATTTGAGTGTAAAACTAATAAGGTCTGCGTGAAAATTAACTAATTATGCAAATTAGATTATTAATATGCACAAATATTTACCTCAAAAAAATAGGTCTCCGCATAGTTTGAGAGCATATATGTGCCAAGTTTCATTGAAATGCGATGATTAGTACTCAAGATATCAGTGGACAATTGACTCGTTATGCAAATTAAGTAATTAATATGCAAGGATTTTTACCAAAACCTGCATCAAGTTTCATCAAAAACCAAAAAGTGGTTTATGAGATATCAGTGAAACGGACACACACACACATACATACAGACAGACAGACTAACTGCAAAGACTACTATTGTGTGCTTCACATTTAGTTTCTAGGAAAAATATAACAAAATCGGATTTGGAATTAATATATCCATTCTTTTTTATTTGTTCTCTGGTGTAGATTAATGTCCCAAATATCAGGGAATTTACTTTGCTGCTTTGCTAACCGCATTGCTATACATGGAGCATTATTGCTTTTCAATTAAAGCAGGGGGTCTTCACCTGCGCACGCGCGGGAATTGAGTTCCAATCGACGATAACAACGCAAAGGCTCATGGATAGACGCTTGTTTATAAACAATGACACGCTATGGTCATCTGACGCATGCGTATGTGACGACTCCCCTGCTTTAATCAAACTAAAACAACTTATATAATCAGATGCAACAATGTTTCAATATCCCAGACCATGGAACTATAAACCCCCAGACTAAGCTGAGTCCAAATTTCTCTGAGTAAATCACAAGTTATCTTCTCGAACTACAGAAACACTACACAGATTACACACATACAAAAAAATGCATCTAACATCAGTGAATTATAATTTCTCGCTTTTCTCCAGTTGTTCGCGTCTTTTACATAACATTCGTACATTCAATCTGTTAGAAAGCATAAACCTCGGTGGGATATCCCTTTCAGTGTGGGATTAATAATGTAGCTTGCACAGTTAAGTTGGGTGTACATTCGCAACAGTTTGTAGTGTGGAAAAAGGAAAAAAACCACGTGATCTGCAATCTGTAAAATAAAATGCATTTGACCAGTTCGCTGACCCTGGAATGATAATGGATCTGGGTATCGTGGCGCCTCATATTCTCTGGATGTGGATACATTTTTCAATATTTTGTTTTTAATAGTCTGATTTTCTAATTCTAGTAATTTATAAGTAATAACTTTTGTATGTATAGCAATGTTGTTAAAACAGTGATGTAAATTGCAACATTGCCCAGCCGATTATTCACGCGATGACAGTCAAGCCGATGTAAATTCACTTTTGCTTTTGCCTTTACAGAAGAAGAAAATCAAAAGTAGTTTGATTTTATGCTTTCGCACCGTAGTGGCTAGATCATGTCTCAAAGTTCGTGCCAAGATTAGATCGACTTGGCACAGTCAGATGTAAGATTCTTTCTAAATGATGATCAAAGACCAGAATTTACCTTGCTTTTCTGTCATTGTCAACACCAATTACTAAGCGAAACCAACAACAACAAAGAAGTAACCACTTTTATGACGCAGCGTAATTTCAGTGTACTGTACTAGAAGAACGGTTATGAAACTCTATTGTTAAATATGCTAATTACCCATTGACTTCTCTTTGATTCGTATTCAACCACTATGACGCCATCGCTTACTAGTACTAGTATATTGCTATCTCCGTTCGTTTTTCATGGGCGTCTACTACTAGGAATTTGAAAAATAGAGCTCATTAAGCCGAAAGATCAACGTAGAAGCATCACCGAATTCGGTGCGAATGTTGTGTGATACTCAAGGTTTCGTTGTTCGCGAAAACAATAAAATACCGATAGTTTATTTTTACGTTTTTTCCATTCTTTTTGATTTGTTTTCTGGTGTAGATTAATGCCCCAAATGTCAGGGAATTTACTTTGTCGTGCTTTTTTAATTTTTGTAAAATTTGTATGTTTTATATATGTGTTTTAGCAGTTAGTGTCACCGTTTTTATTCCTTCTGAGGAATGTTAAGTGTTTAAATAAACTATCTGTGTTTTGTTGACAGATTTGCCATCTGTGAATCGAAATTGACTATGGCATTCTGTACCCCAAAAACTCTGTCTGCTAATGTTCCAAAATGTTAGTATTTGTTACTATATTAATGTTCGGGTATTTTAATGTGGAACTGCGATTATCACTAATACGCTCGATAACTAATTTATTATTTTGGCACCAACCAAAGTTGGCTGCTGATTACTAGTATTTTTAAAGCGAAGTTTGTTTCTGGAGTTTGGATTGTTTAGTTGTTGGGCATTAAAAACGCCGGGGATACAATTGAAGTAAACAAATACAGACCCACCAGAAAGTATTCAACCCGCCACACTACACATAGTTACTTTAAAATATTTTATTATAGCTGTAATTAATTTTTGCTTAATATATTTTTGTGTGGAGTTTATTTTCACTGATTTTTGATGAGTTTATGTAAAATATGGGACAGGATAAATTCGCTGGATGTTATTTTCAATGAATCATGCGATTAGCAAATTAACTCAATAACTGTTAGAATAAATATATTATATATCGAATAATATATCGTCGTTTTTGCAAACAATAAAAACAAAAAATTTCAACTGTCATGCAAAATTGAATAAAACGGCACATAAATGGCGACACAAGTCGAATTTTGCATGAATTAATAAACGCTTAATAATTGTAATTATTAACTATTGCATATTTTTTTCGAATACGACTAGTATATCATCCAGCCCCATAGTTTATAATGGTCAGCCCTAAACAGCGCCATCCGAGTCGGAAGAAGTGTCTCAGCTAGTGCATCATCGACAACTCTGACGCAAATA